TGAGGACACACAAGGGTGTGTGTGGTTGTATGACAAGGACAGTGGCTGTGCAGAACCCCTGCCCAGGGCTGAGAATGGGGCAGTGCTCCTGGTGCCTGGATGGATGCCCAGGAAAAGCCCAGTGCCCATCACACTGCTGCCATCCATGGCCCTGAGCAGTGGGGAGCAGCCCCAGCGCCCCGAGCCACAACCTGCACTATCGATATTGCACTGCCTGGAGCTGAGGGCATTTACGGGAAATGCCTGTTTGTGGGACCTTTGGACCACAGCTCACAGTGTGTACTGGGATGGGATCACAGTGGTAGCAGCACTGTTAAAGCACGGCCTGCCCGGGGTGGGGGCATGGAGCATCCCAAACTAGATTTGAAGGGGATGGGGTTGTAGATGGACTTGCTGCTCCATGTCCACCCCCCACTGGAGCAGAGCCTTTTCCTCACCCCCACCCAACCCACCACAGATAGCGCCATGCCATTCTCTTGGTTGCCATCACTGTCACAGAGAGCAGAGCTCAGCGCTGCCACTTCACTGCCTTTAAGGAGGTGTATGGCCATGAGAAGCTGTATGGCCATGAGGAGCTGCAGGGCCATGAGCCCTCACCTCAGCCTCCTCTGCTGTGGGCACAACAATCCCGGGGCCCTCATCACTCTTTCAGTAGTGGCACATCTGGTCCTGCAGCTCTCCTCACACCCCTTGCCCTGCAGACCCTTCCCCATCTCCACAGCCCTCCTTTGGATGCTCTCTAACAGCTCCATGTCCTTCTGACACAGCAGCACCCCATGTTCGAGGTCAGACCACAGCACAGAGCAGAGGGAACGGTTCCTTTCCTCACCAGCTGGGCCTGCTGCACCCAGGGGATGGGGCTCTTTTGGCTGCAGGGCATACTCATGGCTCACATCCACCGGCCCATCTCAGAGCCCCCAGAGCCCTTCTGTGGGGCTGCCATCCAGTCTCTCCTCCCCCACTCTGTTCCTATACCCACCTCATTCCTGGTGCAGAATGCAGCTCTTGCTCCTGTTCACCTCCATTAAGTTGGGCATTGCCTGGCCCTCCCATCGCTCAGGCCTCTCCACCCCTGATAGAGTCAGCAGCTCATGGCAGGGCAGTGTCATCCACAGCCTTCCTTACTGCACCTTAGTGACAATTTCCAGTGATGAAGAGAACACTGAAGAGAATCAGCCCTGACATGGAGCCCTGTGGAACCCCCATGACTGCCACCAGCACAGTGCACACCTGTCCCAGATCCTGAAGCCCAGATCTTCACCCACAGCACTGTGTACGTGTGTAGCTGTGTGCTGAATGTTTTATCCTGACAATTCTTCCAGGAATATGCTGCCCGTTCTGCTGCTGCCTCCAAGCTGCAGAGCACCCACGTCACCTGCACACATGCCAGGTGAGGCTGAAGGTCCCACAAACGCATTTCCCGTAAGTGTGCTCCATTCCAAGCAGT